TTTGTCAACAGTGTTTCAACATTGAAATGGAATGTCGAAACAATATTGATGGCAACATTCATTGAACATTCCACAATGAATCCCTCGTGATTGGGTTTCTCCACGGATCAAGTAGAGGTAAATTCATCAAAATGAATCGCTTGACCTATGGATGATGAACTACATATCCAAATGAGGATTAATCCTCTTCAGTATCTATAGGTCAGTACCCATAGAGTACTGAGAAGTTTGCGAGTATGGGTCCTCTTCAGTTCTGCACACAGCACCAAAGCCTTGTATGCATAACTGGTTTACAAAACGAGGATAAATCCCCTCACCTCCTCTCTTAGAAGATTTGTGAATGGATTACTTCACATTATACTTGAGTGTGCTCTACACGTCTCCAATCACCTAGACTTCTATGCGCTCACACTAAACCTTGGCATTTAATTTGTTTCCGAATCACATTCTGCAATCAGAACATCATAATTCCACATTTTTCTAATATATGTGTTCATTAATTACGTAATAAAAAGAGGAAAGTGGGAAGAAAACTCTTTAATGGAAGGTTACAGATCCGTAATTGCATTAGGAGGCTACAGGGGAACATGTATACCATCTAGTGAGCGCTCTTCGTACTTCATTATGATCGCGCCTAGACTACACTACCCTGGTAACATAACTTCCATGAGAAGATGCAAGACGACTCCGCGATGACCGTCGGATAATTGGAAATAGTTTATGTATCTTTTTCCGAATACAAATAAAATAATTATTCAAATACTTGATAATAGACTGCATGCAACTCAATAGTTGAGGATTCTCATTTTTTCCACGTTGAAACCATGTTGATAGTACTCCGAAAACCTATTGGAGAGGTCCAACTCTTCATCATTTTAAGAGGGGTTAACAATTATGCCACATCTAATAAATATAATCCGAATAGTCTCCAATCGGAATCCACAATATGATGCGACGACATTGTATCAACATTGAAACAATGTTCACCTTCAACCCTCAATATTCGCACACTCAATCCACATCCAATCCATGTTGATTCAATGTTCTGTGTTACCTGGGTATGCGGTACCATTCATGCAATTTGTGATAAGAACTCCGTTACCCACTGCATTTATGAAAGTACCGTTTTCCCAGATATAATTCCAGTCATCACGTCATTGTTGGAAATGTAGCGTTTGGATCCCGATTCTGGCGATCTCCAATGATTTTTTCTTTGGATTTTGCGCCGGTATGCAAACTTACTTTGGGTAGTGTAGTGCATGTCGACTTGAAGTCTTGGAATATTGTCGCTGTACCTGTAAAGGATCAATTAATCTCTCATGGAGCTACATTGAAATAACGACCTTCTAATGCAATAATTTTACTTAAATTTTTTTTGGTGCGGTTTTGTTGCATCTATGCGGTAACATTCATGAAATTTGTGATAAGAACTACGTAACCCACTTTATTTATGAAAGTACTGTTTTCGCAGAAATAACTCCAGTCATCACTTCGTTGTTGCAAATGTTGAGCTGAATCTTTCCTCGGAGAATCAGAAATAGAGTGATGCTATCCAAAACAAAGAAAAAAACTAATGCTTTTTAAATATCACTCCGTAGATTAGATGAATGGTGAGTAATGGCTTGAAAAATATTTGGGAAATTAAATTTTTTCTGTTGGAAAGGGCCAAATTCGCGAACATGCATCGATTCCTGTGCGATCTCGTCTGTAAAGACAACCGATAATACAAAACCGTTGAAGTTTTTCTTTCCTGAATTTTCTTCATATTTTTGTTTTTCGTTTCGTAATGAAATGAAAAAAGGCGTTCCAGTTTGAACACATCACTTCCGTGACATGGCGCTCAAACTTTTCTCACTGCTTTACAATAAAAATGATTCAAGACGGACTCGTGACTGAAGAGGTCGTTTCCATTCCCATTTCCCTTCCTGACAGCAACTGCGGAAGAACTGCGGAATGAAAAATTTCCTAACATCGTTCAGGCCAGTTCGATTGCTGGAAGAGCGAAAAACAGGTGAAAGCAATCAAGCGCCGAATAACGCATGAAGTTCATCAGCTGGGTCTAGCCAGGAAGCATGGGAAATGGTTTTTTATTACTGGCCGTAGAGAAATCGGGACATTTCTAGGTCGACGGTATCGAGGTCGATCACCGCAATCCGCCTTCCATGTATCCATGGTGAAAATAATTAACTCAACTGCGTAATTCATGCCCTATCTAAGGATACCTAATTCAAGATTGGCACTCAATTGCCCTGTGATATATATGACAATTTGACGCCAACAGTAGCAGACGTGTTGTATGTCGTACTGTGAGTGAAATTTTCCCAGATGTTTCGATTTCACACATGTTAATCATGTTCCTGCCGCATGCTCATGCCAAAGTGAACGTTTCCTGCGGCTTCAGTGCTGACTCCGCCGTTGAACTGCACATACTTGAGGAACGATTCATCCAGACACGTGAAGTGCCACATTCATGGCAAAATGCGATAAGCGTCATGACGAACGTGAGTTGAAATGGACTGGATCGATCGAAAACCGGGGTAGAAGAGAGGGGCAGAGAGGCCAAAGAGGAAAGAATTCCCCGAAACCCATTTGCAATTGAGGTCGGACGGGAAAATGCTTGATGGAAACGACGGAAAGACGGAAAGACGGAAAGACGGAAAGGGGACTGGACGAGGTCGAGTCGTGGATCGAGGTCAGGTCGTGGATCGTGGTCAGATCGTCGGTCGATGTCAGGACTAGGACGAAGACGTCATACCGGGGTTGTTTCCTGTTCGATATTTCATATCTCGCAGCACTCTTGCACTATTATATCTGGGCCATTCCATAAGTTAGTAGAATTCGGTTGAGAAAACGAGAATGGGAAGCCCATTGACACGCGCGATTGTTTCTGGAGTCGCCACACCCACAAGGCATTCATCCAGTACACTTGTCTGGCCTACTTGAATCTTGTCCATCCACTTGTACACAGCTGCTTTCTACATAAAGTGTTCGCCGTATCGTGCCACCATTCTTACATGAATCTCACTTGGTTTCATGGATTTTGACAGTATAAATCTGATAACGGACCTCTGCTCCTCCATCGTGCATGCTGACGATGGCGCCGCCATCTTTATTGTGACNGACGACATTGTATCAACATTGAAACAATGTTCACCTTCAACCCTCAACATTCGCACACTCAATCCACATCCAATCCATGTTGATTCAATGTTCTGTGTTACCTGGGTATGCGGTACCATTCATGCAATTTGTGATAAGAACTACGTTGCCCACAGTATTTATGAAAGTACCGTTTTCCCAGATATAATTCCAGTCATGACGTCATTGTTGGAAATGTAGCGTTTGGATCCCGATTCTGGCGATCTCCAAGGATTTTTTCTTCGGATTGTGCGCCGGGATGCAAATTTTCTTTGGGTAGTGTACTGCATGTCGACTTGAAGTCTTGGAATATTGTCGCTGTACCTGTAAAGGATCAATTAATCCCTCATGGAGCTAAATTGAAATAACTACCTTCTAATGCAATAATTTTTCTTACATTTTTTTTGGTGCGGTTTTGTTGCATCTATGCGGTACCATTCATGAAATTTGTGAGAGGAACTGCGTTACCAACTTTAATTATGAAAGTACCGTTTTCCCAGATATAATTCCAGTCATCACTTCATTGTTGCAAATGTCGAGCCGAATTTTTCCTTGGAGAATCAGATATAGAGTGATGTGATCCAGAACACCAAAATAAACAAAGGCCTTTTCAATATCACTGTAGATTAGATGAAAGGTGAGGTGAATTGCTTGAAAAAATACGAAATGGGTTTTACTTGGAAAGAACGCAAATTCCACTTCTAAATTTTTTGTACTGAAAATGCGATAGTCCTGGTGGGAAAGCAATTTTTAAATGAGGGAAACGGAATCTAGAGCTCTATGACTCATGCAATCCATTAAACGAGTGTTTGCCATTGACCGCTGTGGGATTGTTCCCTATCTGGGTCGATGTTATTCGGGTCGACTTCCTGTTTCACCTTGGCTGCAACGCTTTGTCTTTCCCTCGGACTCTGAAGCACGACCATGGAAAGTCTTTCGAAGACACGAAAAAAGACCACAGCCATCGCCTTAATCCTTCTGTCCCTGCACGGCGCGGCCTCGAACGGATTCGTCTCCTTCCAGGATGAAGATACTTCAGACGGAAAGCTTCCGGAAAACAATAAGGTTTCCAAGGACGATGTCCAGCGGAAAATGAAAGCACGTGCTCCGGGAGAAAGGAAGACTAAAGAAACGATTAGAACAAGAAAAAGAGAAGAAAAGAGTGTCGAAAGACAGGGAAAACAAGAAAAGGACGAACGGTCATATGAACATGTAAAAAGCTCAAGGAGACTGGAAGAGGAGACAATTGTATTGATCTCGGTGACGATGTCGGAGGTAACGAAGGAATCGCTGCAGCAGTCGTCGGCGTTTTTCCACCTCATTTAACCAAGGCTGAAACAGAAAGAATCGTCGCCCCGGTTTGCCTCGAGCCCGGAGGAGCCATTCCAAACTGCGATGGACTTAATTTCCCAAAACCTGGTTTCCTTAACCCATGGAAAATTGGGAGAATGAATCGTCGAGTTCGTTTGAACGTGACCGAAAGTGGATATCCCCCATATCGGATTCGTCGAAAAGAAGACATTAAAAGCCGATTTTGAACCCTGTGAAACAAACGCGGTGAGTAAGGGCGAACGCATACCTCAATTTTGCGAGCATGAAAGTTTCGAGTAAAATCTTTGACGATCGAAGCTATGCGAATCGAGGTCGGCGAGGTGAATTGTTTGAAAAAATGCGAAATGGGATTTCCTTTGAAATCCCATTTCCCTTTGAAATGCCCTATGACGCATGCAATCCATTAAACGAGTGTTTGCCATTGACCGCTGTGGGAGTGTTCCCTATCTAGGTCGATGTTATTCGGGTCAATCACCTGTTTCGCCTCGGCTGCAATGCTTAGTCTTTCCCTCAGACTCTGAACCACGACTATGGAAAGTCTCTGGAAGACACGAAAAACAGTCACGGCCATCGCCTTAATCCTTCTGTTCTTGCACGGCGTGGCCTCGAACGGATTCGTCTCCCATTACGCTGCGCATCCCGGAATGAGATATTCCAACGTGAGTTCGGAAACGGCAGAACCGACTCTCGGAGTCTGCGGCATCAAGTGCGTGATGCAGACGCCACCCTGCTATGCCTTCAACTATCGGGAATCCGATGGTTCGTGTCAGCTGGTTATCAACGGGAGGAGCGGGCTCGTGGAAGCGAACGGATTCAAGTCTTACGTTCAGAGTGAGTCGAATGGTTTCGTGTCATTTGCACAAGTTCTTAGAGATGTTTTCCTGTTCGTTCGAAATTCCATCTCCCGATGATCCTCCGTCCTGCTCCCTCCCGCTCGCGACCTGTTTCGCTTTGGTGTCGTGTCATGTTCGCAGAATAAAACGGGAATACCGAGACGGGGTACTCGTTTCCCTTGCGTGATTCCATTTTAACATCGAGTAAATGAGTGTGCTCCAAGTCCCAGAGCTGCCAAGGATAAATGGACAAATTCCGAATGATGGTGAAAGTCAGCACAATACTGTACTTGAACGCATATCACCTTGAGGTTGAAGAAAGATAAACCATTGAAATTGGTTTTCACATTACTACATATTATATATGATATCTTGGGCCTTTCTTGGCCACTAAGAAAGCCCCAAACACGTTGCCAATATTGGACCATTCTTGCCCCGAGTCATTGGCCATCCGCTGGCCGATGAGACATTTCTGGATTGGCCCACCGTTGGCTGCCAAGGGTGGTCCAAGCACTTTGCCGATGATATGCCTTGTTTGGCCCAATGAAGATTGGCTATCTGGGAAGTCTGTTGTAACAACCGTTTTGCGAATGAACCAGGGGCAGTCCAACCGCGATCAGTACATTCCATTAAATAGAAACTCCAATTCAGTCGTCACCACGCTGTATACTTTCAAACGATTGCAAGAAAAGGAACCGTCGCTTGAAATTTCCCACCTACAGTAGAGCTCGACATGGCCGAAGGCTTATTTTGCCGCGCCAGAAAGCATCGCTCAGAAAAATCCCTCCGCTTCCCTTGTATTACGTCCGCGAAAGAACCACGTTTTCATTGACACGAGTTGATGGATTGTGAAATGCACCACGGTGGCTCATTCCGGACGTTCAACGACTACCATGTGAATCACATTTCGAGATACCTATCGCGAGTTCATCCAATATCCCCAGGCCAACCAATAAGAGGACTGGGCTTTCCACTATCTCTTCGATTTACACTGTTCAGTGATTTTGTTTCCAGACGGTTATGCATATCGATTAGACTTCCGGCAACAGCCGAACTCGAGAATCAGGCGGAAAAAAATTCAACTTGGTGAGTTTCAACACGAACACACTTGATATTGAATCCCTCTGATATATAGGACTGTGCCTGACGGAGCATCCAGACATCGCGAACGCCAGAGCATCCTTTGACGGTTGGAGCGGAGAATACCCGGCTCCGGCTGGGGGAAAGGTCTCTTTCCGTTGCGAGGCTGCGAATGGATTCTCGGATGGTTCTTTTCTCCACGTGGCTACCTGCTCATCTGTATCACCAGATACTTGGTGCAGCTCCTTCCAGGAAGATGCAGTTCACTGTGAGGACATTAAATTCAATTTTTTGAAGCACAGGGTGTCCATGATGCGAATACCTACAAGTAACTTTTAAGAATGTATTCTGAAATGACTATTCACACAAACGGCGAACTCCTCTCGATTGCAATCTCCCTCAATACAACTTAGTGATCCTTGAGTAGGACGACCCCTAACCTCCACGATGACGAACTTTGGAAGCATGTTTCAACGAGGATGCATGGTCTCCAATTCGAAAAGTGGTCGTATCGTGTCATGACATTCCCAACTACTCTGGCAAAGGAACTTAAGCCAGTTAACTTTTTTTCATCATTGACTCCTACCTTTCCTAATTTTTTCCTTCGCTCGAGTGCAAGGAAAGGGTCTCTTTTTGGTATTTTTTTTTTAACCAACAGGTTGGGTTCTAGCTTCGAAACATGAGTCCCATTTGCAAGGCATGAAATTCACGGAATTTGTCGCGTTCAGTTGATTGTGGAAAATGCGTCGTTTGACGAAGATATGCATTTTAGCTGCTTTTACTGTAATCATTCCCTCTATTCGATAGGAAACCTACGACCACACAGCCTGAAAGTCGTACATGAATAATTAGTGTGATAAGTTTTCCAACTGCTAATTTGCAGAGACGTGGAAAGCGAATAGATGGAATTCAGAGAATGTTTCAGCTTCGAAGGCGGAATGTGCATGATTCCTTAAATTACCGCGTTATGAGCACCAGAAATAGCAATACATTTATTCAATCCATACTCTAATCGCCTGAAAAACTTTTAGGCTTCCCTTCACGATTTTACAGGTGAGCAATCACAAGTATCCAGAGCAACCGCAAGAATCCAAACAGATCACAAGTATCCCGAGTGCCGATTGACAGAAAAAGGAAGGGAATACATAGGGAGGGCGAATAAGACAGAATCAGGAAAAGAATGTCTGAGATGGGACAGTCAGCCCAACGGGAAACCAGATGACTTTTTCCCCAATGTGACCTACGATGGCCACTTCACAAACCTGGATGCCTGGTCTCACAAGAACTACTGTCGGAACCCATCCGGGAAGGAGAGGCCCTGGTGCTTCGTCTCCCACCAAATGGGAGTTCAATGGGAATACTGTGACATTCCCATGTGCACGGACACAAGTAAGACATTAACATATGCTGGGTTTTCCCTTTAGCCGACATTCGCAAAGAGGACGTGATGTTTGAAGAGTCCGTATGTGCGACTGCACCGAATGCCAAAGGTTTATTGCTGCATTATTTACGCCTAGTAGTTTTTTACTGCCAATATTTAATAATTTAAGAGATGGTAAGGAAATTGTGCACCCATTCAGCGTAAGATGTCCTCCATAGATGAACACGTTGATGATAAATTCGCTAAGAGATCAACACCGTGGTACCGTTATGTTTCCCTCAGGAGTCTCTTTCAAGGAGGTCCAGATTGTAAAGAAGGCTGGAAAATCGAAAGCGTGGATTACAAACCAGATCTCTTCAGGAACCATTTTTTGCAAATATGTTTTTTCCTTCCCTTGTTGCACTTATGAAACTTATTCCCTTGCGGCATGGAGTCTTACTGTAAGGTTGCAAGAAATGCAATGAAATTTCCAAGGAAGTCACAATGTCTGAGACACTGCAACAGAGCTCCTACGTAGAGGAGAAGCTAAATTTTGCCTGCGGTATTTCTTTCCCCGAAATGCTACTTTATAACCATCTAACTGACGAGATTATCTGGCTTTACAATAACATTTTCACCCGATAAGGGAACCTGAAGCAGTTGAAAATATCAGTTGAACGCTTCTATTGTAGTGATACGGTAATAGAATACATAATCAGGATTACTGTCTGTCTCGTTTTCTTCTTTTTTTATGCTGTAAAATGCCCAAAGTCGCGAAAAAATTTATAAAATTCATCTCGAACCATTCGAGGAAATAGCCTTTCCGAATTAGGTGAAATGATATTGAAAGTGAAGAAGAGATCAGAGTAAATTTAAACAATGATAAAGCCGTAGGAAATTCTGTAAATGTAATCAAGAAACAATATGAGTGGAATAATACACCCAAGCAGATTCCAGAAAACTGAAAACTGACCAGTAATGTTTCTTTCGGCTAAATTGCAACTTCTTTCAAAATGTCACTGGTCTCGCCAAGTGGGAATGCCCCTGGTATTTCAAGTCCCACGATCGATAGACTTTGGTCGCAATCTTTAATCCTCGCTCGTAAGAAAATTCACAATTTTATCGAGCTTCAAAAGTTTTACTGCGTAGTTCCGAAATACCTTCTAGTGTTTTTGCAGTAGCACAGTGGGAATTAGCATAGTGTTCAAAAGGCAAAGTGAAGTTTTTAATTTGGACTTTTTACGTATTCGAATTTGTTTAATTTTGGATCACATGGAAATATATTCCAGTTAATTACATTATTACATATCGTGATTCGGCTTCAAAGGTCAGGAATAGTCCTCACCGCATAAAAAATTATTTATCCAGTGAGAATTTGTCATATATGCCCTTACGGAAATGTCCTATAAGAAACCTATAGACTTTCCTATAGGTTTTTGAAACACGAAAAACCTATAGGATCTTTTAGGATCCTATAGGATCCCTATAGGGTCTTATAGGTCTCCTGACCTATAGGATTCAGGGAGGAAATTTTGGGCTTCGAAACCCAGGCATGACGACGGATAAGGCAATCGGGGATAATATTTCATTATGCATTTCGGTGCATATAAAAAAAAACGATTAGGGGTTTTCCCATGGTAGGGAGACATCCATTATGAATACCATTACTACGGGGGTCTGCATAACTTATGGCCCCGCCCCACGTGTCGCTGGATTGCACATCTACTTCCTTTGGCAGAAAGAAGTGGTATTCTTCTCTCGACCTAAGGAAATAGAAGACAGAACCTGCGAGCACGTTTCTTTACTAAAACTCCATCTGGGTAGAGTCTTCTCAGCTTCGTACGTGGCTTTCAAAATGAATAAGGGCATATTTCTTGCCTGAACTCCATGATTCTATCTGAAGATGGGGATGACAAATAAGGAAGTGTTGAAGTTTATTGATTGATACAATGAGGCAAGGCTAGACATTAGGGGACATACAAAACTCTCTGGTGAGAGATGATTCCATGGGTAAGGGGAGGGCACTTTTGTGCCCTTTGAGAAATGCGACAACCCAATACTTCCATCTAGTGGCCTAGAGGAGAACTTCAAACGGAACCCTTAGGCCTATAGGGTTCCATATAAGCCCTATAGGTCCTATAGGTCCTATAGGGAACCCTATTGGTTTTATAGGGACCCCTACGGGTCCTATACAGAACTCTTTGGGTCCTATAGGGAACCTATAGGCCTTATGGAGAACCCTATTGGTTCTATGAGGAACCCTATAGGTTCTATAGGGGGACCTATACGTTCTATAGGGAACTCAATAGGTTCAATAGGGGACTCTATAGGTTCTATAGGGGACTCTTTAGGTCCGAAACTGAACTCTATAGGGCATATAGGATCCTATAGGATTCCTATATATTCCTAAAGGAATATATAGGAATCCTATAAGACATTTTCGTAAGGGTGGCCACGATGGTTTGAAATGAAACCAATTGTTTACCATGGTTGTGAAGTGATAGGATCATGATCTTTTGCGCGTCATTCCCAACAGATCCTCCAGAGTGCAAGGTGACTCAACAAGGCGGTGAATACATTGGAAGGAAGAACGTGACTTATTCAGGCTTTCCATGCCAACCGTGGAGAGAGTCGAAAGAATCCAAAGCTGTTGAAAACCACCTACCCGTTTTTCCGGACGTAGATAAAATTGATGAAATTCACAACTTTTGCCGGAACCCTGATGGAGACGCTGCTCCCTGGTGTTTCAATGGAAAAGGGGAAGATCCCGAGTATGAATACTGTGACGTTCCCTTCTGTGAGACCCGAGAAACTCGAAATGAAGCCGAGAAGAAGGAATATCCGGAATGTCGTCTGTCGGAGAAGGGAAAGGAATATGTGGGGACCAAGGACGTGACTGAAACAGGAATGCTTTGTGTGGAATGGTCATCTCGGGCTTTTCCGAGGCCTTGGGACTTTTTCAATGAGAATATTGCATATTCAGAGCACTTCCTGAATAAGGACCTGAAATTGCACAAGAATTACTGCCGAAATCCCGGTCTTCACAGGGAAAGACCTTGGTGCTTCGTCTCTGACGTTAACATCCAATGGGAATACTGCGACATCCCTTTCTGTCATGACCCGAGTCTGTCCTTCATTCCACTTGCGGCGATGATAGTCGGATTCTGTGATTTATAGGGGCTTTTGTAACTTTTAGATCCACCGGAGTGCAAGCTGACTGGAAAAGGAGGAGAATACGTTGGAAGGCGAAATGTGACCATCTCGGGGTTCGCTTGTCAACATTGGCTTGCTAAGCATCCCACGGAACATGAAGATGTGGCGGAACACCTCTCAACTTTCTCCGATGAAGTGGATGGGAGTCACAATTTCTGTCGCAATCCTGACTTCTCTGGCCATGGACCATGGTGCTACACTCTAGGCACTGACTTCAGGAAGAACTGGGAGTATTGTGATGTTCCTCTTTGCGCCGGAAAAGAAGAAAAACCATGCGATATTCGTGTCTCTGGGAAATGCATTGGTGAGCATGATCTATTTAATTTAGTTTTTTTTTCCCATTTGTTGCTCATCTTTATCTCTTCCGCTTCGCGAGTTCTGGTCGAGAGAATCTTCGTCTGCATTGGGGTTCGTTTCTTGTACTGGGACGATGTTTTTCCTTGCAGTCCCTGTGGAATGCAAAACGGACACCCAAGGAAAGGACTATATGGGAAAAATAAATATTACGAAATCAGGATTACCTTGTCAGCCGTGGATGAGCCGAACGCCGAACTACGGACCAACCAAGTTGGAGTACTACACAGATGCAAGTGCCTTACCGGACGACATATATCCTTCTCACAATTTCTGTCGTAACCCGGAGGGAGACCCAGATGGTCCGTGGTGTGCAAATGCTGCCGGAACGGAACCGCCATTTGAACAATGCAACATCCCAATATGCAATTGACATTTTGATTTCCTGAAGAACATTTTCTATATTTCCCAGCCAACGTCAGTCTAACAGCAAGGAATTTCGTCCTTTCATCGTTCCATTAAATGAGTTGCAATCAGAAACGGATTCATCTCCCCTGGCCCCTGCTTTTGTGAGGGAAAATTAAACATTGATGCGGCATTACTGTTCCTCTCCCGTTCCTCGGTCGTGTCCCTCATTGAGTGGGTGGAAGTGTGTTTTCATCTCCACATCACCAATATTTTACATTTTGTGCTAATTTATTTAAGAAGCCCTTGAAGAAAAAGGTCACCCCCCCCAAGTCACTGGGTACTTCCACGGGATTCTGTGAATAATGACTTTGTAGTATCTAGTCAGATGAACATGAACCAAACTTTGAGATAAAGGAAGTGTGTGTCAATAAATAACTGAATCAAAGGCAGTAAATTTTCCTCGGTCGGTTTCCATCGTCGGTTGCCTATTCTTCACATGAATCGTTGTTAATCGTCTCTTGAATATCTCAAAGCAGGAAGGGATATGGACTTCTCTCTCTCTCTCTCTCTCTAAGCCATTTCTACTCGACAAGTCGAGTAGAAATGGCTTAGATCGTCCCGATCGGTTGTCTCATTTCTCCTCGGACTTGTGATTTTTACGTAGGACTATAATTGTATTGCTTTTAATCGCAGCCTAGTGGCTTATCAACACACTATCTTTGGCTATGATGAACTATGAGTGAATCTTGGTGCCCTTCCGGATGAAATATGGTGGAACTATCTTTTGATTGGAATATTTTTTTGTTTCAGTTGACGCATTGCATTGTAAATAAAGATGGTGAGCACTTTCTGAGGGTCCCTCGTATTTATGCTTTATCCGCCTACGGATTTTTTTTTCACACACCACCCGGTCCAATTTACTTCCAAAAAATATGTACGGTTAACCCTTTCGCGCTCAGCCTATTTTCCAAGTACCTGGTCTAAAACGCTCAGGCGAGTTTGGCTCAATTTATAAGTCTCACGTCAAAAATTCACCAAAAATACAATTTTGGTCAAAGACATATGAAAAAAATCACACTTATTCACTATAAAAAGCAGATTTAAACAAAAATAGCCTATAAGTGCTAACACTATAAATAATTTGAAAAAAAACTGAAAGTATTAAATATAGAAATATGAAATTTACATACTTTAGGCAAAAAATAAAATTGTATATTTGGTCTTCTTTTCTTGTCACCAAGCCTGTAAGAAAAAGAGAATATTTTTCTGTAAATTTTAATATAAGTTTTATGCATGTAGAGCTCTCTGTGCTGCCACCTTTGAGCCATTTATGTAACTAAAAGAGCATGTTTTAGACGGAGCCGATAGATCGGCCGCCTGAGTGTTCTGGCCATTACCTGACGCGCTGATGGATCGGCGCGCTGAGCGTATAAGGGGTAAACACATATCATCGTAATATGTATTGTGTAACTGATTCTGTTGTGCTGGAACGGACAGAAAAGCCGCGTAAATCACGCCGATGCCGAGAGAGAACCATGGAGAGGGTTGGCGTTGTTGGTTCAGTTCGTCAGAACGAAAGCCCACCGGCAGGAACAAATCTTGCCGAAAAGTTGAATGTCTTAGTACCCAAATATTATATTTAAGCGAAATTATCGAGAAAGGCCTGAGGCTGGACGGAAGGCGCTCGACCTTGTTCACAAACTACAGGTTATCCTCATGGTTACCCTTGAGGCAGTATGAATTTGCCTGAGTGCCGGGTACAAATTTTGACCCATTTGCTGCATTCCATTTCGAGATAAGAACCTATAGTGGAAGTAAAGTTATTCACCTGTATTCGTGGTACTGACTGGTTAAAGCCCGCCACACACGATGCGATTTTTGTCGTGCGACCGTCGCAGGATATTGCTCCCTGCTCACTTTTCCTGCGATAAATATAGCCGTCGCTCGACTATTGCTCCGTGTGCGGGGGTCCTGCGATCGTGCTGCGATGTAGGCTGACTCTAATTCTACCATCGACCAATCACGTTGCTTGCAGATTCCTGTGCTCCCCGGGGGGCACATGACATCAAAAATTGCCTCGTCATGCATCAAAAATTGCCTCGTGTGCGGCGGGCTTTAGGGTGTAATGGTACGTTTCAGATCCGCAGAGTGGCCAAGAGCTTCAAGATCCATTCCGGATATTCCCAAGAACAAATATAAAGAAAATTTTAGAATGAAAAATCTATATTCTGTAGACTCTAAAGCTCCAAAGTTTCGCCACGATGAGGCCTCAAGTCGCAACTTCATGTGAACTGCTGCCCTCTTGAGAAGAATTGAAGAAGTCAAAGGAAATGACATGAAAGTCATTGGCTGATATTCCTGGAATGTCACAAAATGCAATTCCAATTGACTTCTATGTCGTGGACTTGATAGCACGCATTAGAACATGGGTCTTCACTGATTTTGGAAGGTCTCTGGCAAGTGTTCGATGATGTTTGGGGTCGTTTTGTCTCACACTATCTTATTATGATCGATGTTGCAATTGCCAAGATCCAGGGGCACCAGATAGAGCATGGTCCGGGACGGAGGAGGATCCTTCAAGGCATGCGAATTCCAAGTACTTTTGCTGCTTGAAGGCATACGAGAAAGAACTGGTTGGGTTAGGTGCCGTCGTCTTTGGTGCGACCGGAAAAGTGAGTCGTGTTTCCACCGTAATCACTGGAGGAAAAAGGTGCCAGGCGTGAGCACGCTCTGTCTGCAGGGGCCATAGAGAGGTGAATTATGGAATTTCCTGCTTCAACCCGATTAATGGAACACTCATTTTCTATGCAACTTCGGAGCAATGGTCATGCAGCACACTCAACATACCTGAATCATTCAAGAAACGGATAGGTCACGCGCACACACACACACACACACACACACACACACACACGCACGCACAAACACCCAGTAGAGCGCTTTCATAAAGAGAATTTGAAAACCTAATTTTTTGTTTAGTACTGTTGAACGTGGGAGAAAATGGAAATGCTGCCTCCTACTATTTTTTCATTAAAACTCCTACTAAAAGGATTGAGATGACATTAAACGGGAATTTCCAATTCATCGAAACGAAGACCTCAGGAGAACATGACCTTCATGAAACTTTAGAACCCAGAAACGCATGAGTGTAAACCTCGTATGTTCTGAAATTCCACCACATGGGAACTCCTGGAAGACAGACTGGTATTGGTTGTCAGAGATGGAAGGAGAACGCGTAACCAATTTACAAGTAAAAAATGTTTCGACTAAAGGCCTTCGTGTCCCGAAGCAGAATAAATCCAGGTCAGCGTTATGGATCGGGACCGTGTGTCTGGTGCTCACTCCGCCATACTGCGCTGAAACATTTATATGTATTCCATGAGGCGAGCGTTGAACTTTTTCGTCCTGCGCTTTTCCGCCTCGTTGCTGGTGACCCCAAAACGTATTTCCAGGAGTCATAACTACTTCACCACATCTTCATACTCCTTTATAACGTGTATGGTCTTGTTATCAGATAGAAAGATCCGTTCCCGGGTACCTGTGGTATAGCGTGATTCCATCTGGACAAAAGTTAAGATAATATACTCGGTCCTTGTTGCAGACCCACATCTTTGTCAAGTGCCAAGCCGCGTTCCTCAGTAAAGGAATGTAGTTTCACTCTAGACGTATCCTGTGCAGAAAATGCGATGCTTGTGGTAGGAAATCCATTCTTTTTATGAGGTTAAGCTGCTAGTGAGACGCATGACGCATACAGTCCATTAAAACTTTGTTTGTTTTGGCTACTGAGTGCTCTCTTTTTTCAGGCGACCGCTATTCAGGTCAACCCCAGGTCAACCACAGGTCGCTCTAAGGTCAATCTCAGGTCAACTTTTTTTCACCTCTGTTACCAAGCTCACACCTGTCATTCCTTGGGAACAAGCCAGTTTAAAAAACTAAAGGTTTCCGGTTCTTCAGATGCAAACTATGAAATACTAATTACCCCATTTAATTATTTGTATGATCTACGTTGTATGTTTGGTTTAGTTCTCGCTCAAGTAAGAATTTTGGGATGGTTCAAATCATTCATGGCGGGATATCATCCTCCATTCATTTCGAGCACTTGAAATATCAACTGTCTGGTTTGGTCGTACTCATAACACCGCGAAGGATTATCGCAGCACGGGATGACGAGAAGCTGGTGCTGGGGCCTCATGGAAAATGTTAAATTAATCGGAAACAGGAGAATGCATTTAGGAGAGACTTAGGCAAGAAAGGGATTTGTTTGTTGTCTAACTGAACAATGTGCCACCATTTTATTTCTTCAAGTATGCAGCAAAAAAAAAAGGGTAACATAATTCCAAGCATGGCTCACTCATGGCTGATATCTAACAGAACAAATTATCCGACATCATGGCACCTTTTCCTCCGGATGGAACATATGCTAGGATCGTGAAGTCCTGGAAAGAAATCCCTACCAGACAAAAGTAGTATCGGGATTTTAAAAAAATGAAGTGATTTAGAATTACTTTCCTTTAGTGATATCATTTAGATATGATTTTATTATGCCCCATTGCCCTAGACCTCGTTTCACTTCGCCCCGTACCCTGGACAATACAGAATGATATAAATTGTTTTGACGAAAGGTTTAAATCTGATGGCTCTTTCATAACTATACTTAATTTGTAGTCTCATTACTGAACACAAATTAGGGTAAATCCTGTCCGATGGGAAATTTGTTTATTTATTGTTAATTTATTGTTAATTTACAACCCAAATTTATAAGGCGATTCCTGCTCATCTTTTCCTCTTTGGCCCTGTTTCCCCAGCAATTTATTTCAAATTTTACAAGTGGATCATGTTGCAGGTTAAATAACCAATTTCTCATTGTTCGATTCGTCACTGGCATCAGTGGCATGTTACAAGCGCTTTTTTTCTTTGGAAGAATCGCTGATGTTGGGAGACACACGGGACCAGATATGGACGGAGGACGAAGCACGTAAGCAGTCACTTCTTCGTGATGGTGCAACATGTTTCAGAATTATGGGTTGAATTAAATTTTTCTTTGCACCACCGAGTGCGGAAACGCTGAGTTCGTTTTCACGAGGGGCAAAATAGGTTAATGTAATCATGGGCCTCATGACGCATGCAGTCCATTAAGATATTGTTTTTATTGGCCGCTGTCGAAGTGGTACATATCTAGGCCAGCGCTTTTAAGGTCAATCTTTTTCACCTTTGCTACTTCGCTGATATCAGTCTTTCTCCCTGGCTAGGAATGTGGACATGGAAACTTTCTCCGCCTCTGAATGCAAGCTAGCGAGGACCATTAAATTAATCCTTTTGTTCTTACATGGCGTGGCCTCCAATGGATTCGTCTCCCATTACTCTGCGCATCCCGGAATGAGATATTCCAACGTGAGTTCGGAAACGGCAGAACCGACTCTCGGAGTCTGCGGCATCAAGTGCGTGATGCAGACGCCACCCTGCTATGCCTTCAACTTTCGGGAATCCGATGGTTCATGTCAGCTGGTTATCAACGGGAGGAGCGGGCTCGTGGAAGCCAATGGATTTGGGTCCTTCGTTCAGGGTGAGTCAAGCGATTTCAAGTCATTTCGAGAAAGACTAGATGGAGAAGTTTTGTCGACGGTATGGGGTTTACACGAGACTAGTATTTGTGCTATGATCGTTTACTTTCCCTTATGAAAAAGTCCTATAGGATCCCCATAGGGTCATATAGGACTCCTGTCCTATAGGATTCGAGAAGGCTTTTTCGTTTCAAAGCCCTGGCATTACAACTGGGATTACCACCATATGGGCCGACCACCACTGACAACTTCGCTTTGCTTAATGCTTTAAAATCATTACTGAATAGAGGATTTCCCATGGAGGGGGTATTTCCAGTAATAGCACTGCCTGCACTAGTACCACTCTCTGCCAATACTCACAATGTCTCATGGATGGTCGGAATGGCGTATCAGGGAGACTATTTCCTTCCTAGGAGAGAGAATATAAATTCTTCACCCATTCTACAGAAATGAGAGAGAAAACCTGTGAATATCATCTCCTACATGTGACTACTTTCGGGAATAATATAGTCTTTCCTCATATGGGGTTCTCATATGGAATATGAGTTTATTTTTTGCCTGGACTTAATGATTCTGTCTCGAATATAGGGATAGCAAATAAGGCAGTGTCCAAGTTCATTGATTGCTACAATGAGGCAAAGCGACATATATCATGGAAAAAAAAACTCCAGTGGATGATCCATGAATATAGGGTAGGGCACCTTTGTGGACTGTGAGAAATGCGAGACCCATGCCTCCATCTACGGCCAAGAGGAGAACTTCGACATTTTCTCAAAAAACTTTCCAGTGCAATGTAGACACATTGGATCATCGCATTGTTTCGAAACTTGATCGATGATGGAATGGCAGTATTGGGAAGCCGATATTTAGCTATTATTAGCAATTTTGGCCTAGGAACAGCCAACGTGTCTGATGCTGGTCCAACATTGAGCCAATATATGGTTTATAGGGGTGGGGAGTGAGCATTCCAATGAATTGACCTGAGTTGACCTGAATACTGAGTTGACCCAACGTTCGGCCAGTGTGGAATATCAACGTTCATCTGAGTAATGCAATGAACGATATTTAAATACTGAATTAATGTTAGATGCAATACCCCCACGACGCCGGGAAGGCTCAAACGTAACCTTCACACAATGCTGATTTCATATAATGTTTTTACCTGAGTCTTTTCTCTTCCGCCCCCCCAACACAGTGGCGGATACAGGGATGGAGCGAAGGGGGGGGGGGGGGAATTATAGAAGCGCCTTTTTATGAATAATTTCTGTATCCCCACTGCTCCAACAGATGTGTTTTCCATCACGGACTTATGAGATTCCCATAGGAACCTAATAGATCCTTTAAGAAGCCTAATATACACTTGCACATTCTTATTGGAAACTTAAGGATCCCAAGGGCGTAGGAACTATGGAGACGAAGGTTTTCCAGAAAAGGCAAATGACATTTGTTCTCCCTTCCCCCCCCCCCCTTTTTGAAACCTAAGAGTGATTTGAACACGTACGAGTTCCGACTTCAGTAACTTCGTGACATTCAATGAGGTTTAGATAGAAAATTTAGCACGAGGCGAGGTTAATGCCTGAGGGAGAATGGCGTGGACAACTGTCCAAGCAGCATGTTCATGTTAATTTTACGTAAAATGAATGTAATTTTTTTGTCCATTTTATATCTATTTTACGCAAACCATCATCAAGATGTCAACATGTTTGCAGAAATGTCATTGGATCTCTGTAATACGTAATGTTAATGTTAATATAAAATTAACGTAAATTAAATGTATAAATAAACATTCCCGTTTACATCCCCAACAGCATGTTTACATTCATTTTAAGTAAAATTGATGTTAATTTCCCCCTAACATTCAGGTGTATTTAACGAGCCAATTCGTACTTTTGAAGGGTATTGATACATTGTATTTCTCCCATTCCTTTCCATACTTTGGAACTCAAGGTTACTTGGACGAGTACTCGCGTACTCATCCTCACCAGCACTGAAGAGTACCAAGCCGACTCGCTAGTTCCTCAGTCCCGTACCAGGACCTCGGGAGGAGGAAGTGGATGTTTGGAGGAGCTCTCTTTCATTAAGACCTAATCCTGTGCACCGCTGTAATAACAAGCTTAGCTTTAGCATTTAATGATTCCCTGAGTCATATATTATTTAAAATATGTAATAATTTCCTGCTTTCCATATATATATATTCATGGATTGCATAATAAAATGTGGAATATGGTAAGAAAACCTGATACTATATCGGGAAAACTTGTACTTAATAACATTTGTAGGGTGCAGGGAACAAAGGTTCCATCTAGTGAGGAATTTTGGTACTGCAACTGCGGGATGGTCAGCTAAAGTTTCATCTGGAAAGTGTGATGTTAACTTTGCATAAACTTGATATAATGTACTTTATGTCAGATGGAGTGACGTCTAGTTTATGTAACATACACGTACACTTTGGTGACGTTTATATAGGAACGAAAATTTTATGTAAACGTGATGTCATTTTTATGGCAATCGCAACAAATTTACATTGTTTGCAAAAAATTGATATCTTGTTTCCGTAAACATGCTGCTTGGGCTGTGCATGTTAGTGAAAGTGGCCCTTTTCAAGTGGAAAAATATGATTTCCCTAGAAAAGGGGGCATTTGCATTCAATGCAAAGTAGGGTGAGTGCTGCGAATGTCGGCGCTATAAGCAAATACTTCACTTCCACCTTGCTTGCTGATTTTCGTAATGGAGCTTCCTAGTTCATATTGGGTCTGGTGATACCTTTATTATAAGCTATCTTGTACTGCAAACCTCAAGTGCCCCAGCCCTTTCATTTCCGAGTGCCTGGGTCAAAGGTGAAGTTGGGTTAGATGTTGGCAATCTCGGCATACTTGCTGGTATAGACGGCACCACCCTGTCGGTAATCTCAACACTCTTATGTATCATTGTCGTTTACAACGGACTCAAAAATGAATGCAACAACCAGATAAAACAATACCTAGTGCGGAAGAGCACGGAATGTGTTAAAGCCTAGCAAAATCACAAGATTTCGCAGGATTTTCGGAGTGCGCTTGGAGAAAGTGGCTACTGCGAGAAAACTACAACAGAAAATATGACTGTTCCAAGTACATGTTAACAACATTAGTCCTACCATCTGATACGTATCTACTTGTGCCCATGGGAACTAGTAGTGAAAGTAGTATTTTGACGATTGAAAAGTGCCAAGATTACCCCCAGTGCCGACATTCGCAGCACTTACCCTACTTGATATGTGGCCATGGATTTCATAATTGCACGCGAGAGACGAGATCTTGTGCTATATTTGTTGTGTATGCATCAGCTAAGAGGTCTTTTTCGGTATTGAGGCGGCTGAAGCATTGGATGCAGACGACGACAACACAATGGCGCCTGACATATATCCTAATGATGCTGGCACTTGAGCACATTTTGGACTCCTTAGAATTAGATAATTTGGTGAAATATTTTAGAACGAAATCTGAGGAAAGGAGACTGTTTATATTCTATTTTCACACGAATTTGATACCCTGATCGTTTTTTATTTAAACAGTAATTTTCCTATTTTCGGATTTCACCTATCTCATTAGCACCCCCCACCGACTTTTGAGGACGTTTCTACGTCTATGATAGGTCCATTAAGCAACCAATAGTATGTTACACGATTCCTATTGGAGTCTTCTGAACCCCCTTTAGCATGCTTGCTTCCCTATAGGAACCCAACAAGTTCTAAAGGGATTTCCTATTGGATTCCTATATATTTCAATAGGTTCCCTCAGGAATTATAGAGAATCCTACAGGTCCTATAGGGAACAATATAGGTCCTATACGGAACCCAATGGGTCTTACGAGCCGATAGGATTTCTCTATGTTCCTATAGGTTTCCTATATATTCCTTTAGAATTCGTATTGGACATTTTCGTAAGGGTTAGTGTTTAGCTTTGTACTTGAATAGCTGATGCATGTTACATTCATTCGAAAGCCTCCACGGTGATTATTTCACTGAATTTTGAGATGAACAGCTGATGTGCGCATTTGACCTTGCATGGATGGTACATGCTTTCGGGTAGATCCAATTAATGAGCATGAAGCAACGACTAATTTGTGATTGAACATGTCAGACTCTTCCTCTGTGCAGCACGGTGTATACAATTGGGTGTCCCCTTGTGTCACCTTGAGTCTATACACTTCTGTCCGACATTCGCAAAATTATTCGGTCGCTTTGAAATTTTCAACAAAACAAAAACAAGGCTCTAACCTGGGATGGGCATGCTAGGTAGCACGGCTCCCAAAGATCCCTCAACCTCACTCGCACTATAACTGCCACAGAATGAAGCTTTTACTTGCATGAGTAACTTGCCCGACTTCGTCCTATTTCCCCAGCTCAACTAATGCAAAGTCTGGACTATGCGCATTATACCAAATTGAAGTTGTCCAGTAATTATGTTTGCATGTTTTCATGCAATTATGCATATATATATTATGCAGATATAGATATACCGATGATGTTTCCCCATGAGTCATGGGGCAACAGCCGAATGTTCAGCGGCATAAGGTGACAGATTCTAATAGGCATTATATTAAATCCTTGTTAAATACAGAACTGTGCCTGACAGAGCATCCAAACATCAAGAACGCCATAGCAACCTTTGAGAAATGGAACGGGGAATACCCAGCTCCAGCAGGAGGAAAGGTGATTCTCCGTTGTGAAACTGCGAAAGGATTTTCGGATGGTTCTTCTCTGCACATGGCCACCTGCTCCTCTGCATCACTGGATACCTGGTGCAGCACCTTCCAGGAAAATGAAGTCCACTGTAAGTACATCGAAAGCGGTTTTGCGAAATGCGATGTGTCCATGACGGGAATATGTGCAGGGAACATTGAAAAATTGACTATAAGGAAACGACTCATACTGAGCGTTCAGCAATTGCAGCAATCTGCAGATATCTTTATATTATCTATGAAGCTATATTTTGAATGGAAACATTATATAATATTACAAATCTGCAATGCTTGAAGATTTAACAGGAACTGGTATCGCTGAGAAGTAGCAACGTTAAGTTGTTTCTCATTACCAACAAGAGCTTTTGGCCAGGTCATTCGAATTTTTTTTAAATAAAAATACGCGATCTCGATCCGTTTGTTTTTACTACGAGGCATGGACCCTATTTCGAGCTGCAGCCGCATCTTGTCATACCTGAATCTGTCGACAACAATGACCTTCAAGCATCCACCGTTTCGAATGTCTTTGGCACGACCAAACTACCTTTTCTTGAGAAATTTATGACAGATAACTTCCCTTTGTAGCCACTCTGACAGCTTCAACATCCTCCATTCCGACTTCACTGAATGCAAAGAATATTCTTCTTTTTCTTTCCTTAAATCGAGAGTCTGCATTCCTCTATTTCAAAATCCTCTAATTTCCGAGGGACACGTCAAGGTGAAAGACAGAAATTTATTATTATATGTCATCTTTGAAATGATTAGAGGCTCAAAAAACACCAATGAAGAACTTTCTGGTGGACAAGGCAGTGGCGTGAAGTGGAAGAGGAGCTAGGGCCTTCAGCGCCCCGGCATCCCCCCAATCCCCCATCCCCCTTGATTACACGAGGTTTTCAATTTTTCGGTATTCGTATAAATTTATTCCGCCCACGAAAAATTAGTTTTTGACTTTTCGCAACGGAAGTAATCTCAAGATGGCAATAAAATGGAAGTTTGACTGGGATCTGAGAGAGTGATTCGAGACGTGGGTCTTGAGCAGAGTAAGACAAAATGATCGATAAATTGCATTGTTTTGAACACCGGCCAAGATACAGGCTTCTGCGGACAGGGTATATAGTCGTCGCCCTCCTAACAGCAGAAGTGGATATATTTGAACAATTAATATGGTCAGGGCTACATGATGTGTCATATTTCTGTGTACCGATGCAGGTAGTGAAGAAGGCAATGGCTTAGCTTTCATTTGATGCTTGCGAAAACTTTCTACCCCACCTCATACAATCCACACATGAGTTGACTTCAAACTTTCATGCTTCAATTCATAAATTCACAGGTGAGCAAGACCACAAATATCCAGAATGCAAATTGACAAAAAAGGGAAGAGAATACATTGGGAGAGTAAATAAGACAGAATCAGGAAAAGAATGTCTGAGATGGGACAGTCAGCCCAACGGGAAACCAGATGACTTTTTCCCCAATGTGACCTACGATGGCCACTTCACAAACCTGGATGCCTGGTCTCACAAGAACTACTGTCGGAACCCATCCGGGAAGGAGAGGCCCTGGTGCTTCGTCTCCCACCAAATGGGAGTTCAATGGGAATACTGTGACATTCCCATGTGCACGGACACAAGTAAAGCATTCGCATTTATCAAGATTTCTGTCTATGCAGAAAATCACAATAAGGTTGTGCTATGTGAAGATTACATATGCGTGATAGAACCTAACACCAAAGGGTTTTCGAGTATTCTAGGCTTTTCATTAACCTTGTTGAATTATCTTCACTTAGTTATTTTATTCTGCGATAATTTACTCATTTTTTCAACGATTGCTTTTTTTGGCTGGAGAAGAATTTATTGATCGAAGTTAACATTGGTATTGAATGAGAAAGACTTCAATTTTTGCGTTGGGGTGTGCATAATAATTTTTACTGCTCGCTTCTTCTCCTTTTGTCACAAAACAATATGCTTCAAAATTGGGACCCAATTATTTTTATTAACCTATTGTCTTCCAAAAGTACATAGAATACCTACTCCCTATTTTTGGAATTTTCAGTGTGGAATAATGTAAGTTATTCCTCTTTAGCCCCAATGATGTTAATTGGGGGTGATCGTTTAAGCCGGTAGTAAATTGGAGCATCATGATCATTTCCGTATCATTGACAACAGATCCTCCAGAGTGTAAGGTGACCCAACAAGGTGGTGAGTACATTGGGAAGAAGAATGTGACCCATTCGGGGATTCCATGCCTACCGTGGAGAAACTTGAAACTTGAGAACAAAATTATTGAGAGATACCTACCTGGTTTGCCGGATGTAGATGAGATTGACGAAATTCACAACTTCTGCCGCAATCCTAATGGTGACGCTGCTCCTTGGTGCTTTGAAGGAGGAGGGGAAAATCCGGAGTATGAATATTGTGACATTCCCTTCTGTAAGACTCAAGAAGTTCGAATTAGACTCGAGGGGATCGTTTATCCAGAATGTCGATTGACGGAGAAAGGAAAGGAATATGTGGGGACACAGAATGCGACTGAGACAGGAAAGCTTTGTATCGATTGGGCATCTCAGCCTTTCCCCACGCCTTGGGACTTTTTCAATGAGAATATTGCATATTCAGAGCACTTCCTGAATAAGGAAATGAAATTGCACAAGAATTACTGTCGAAATCCCGGTCTTCACAGGGAAAGACCTTGGTGCTTCGTCTCTGACGTTGACATCCAATGGGAATACTGCGACATCCCTTTCTGTCATGACCCGAGTCTGTCCTTCATTCCACTTGCGGCGATGATAGTCGGATTCTTTGATTTATAGGGGCTTTTGTACCTTTTAGATCCACCGGAGTGCAAGCTGACTGGAAAAGGAGGAGAATACGTTGGAAGGCGAAATGTGACCATCTCGGGGTTCGCTTGTCAACATTGGCTTGCTAAGCATCCCACGGAACATGAAGATGTGGCGGAACACCTCTCAACTTTCTCCGATGAAGTGGATGGGAGTCACAATTTCTGTCGCAATCCTGACTTCTCTGGCCATGGACCATGGTGCTACACTCTAGGCACTAACTTCAGGAAGAACTGGGAGTATTGTGATGTTCCTCTTTGTCCCAGAAGCGATGGAAGACAGTGCGATATTCGCGTCTCTGGAAAATGTATAGGTGAGTTTAGTCCATTTAATTTCCGAAAATGATTCGGTTTCAGACGATCTTTCACGAGTTCTAGTCGAATGAATCTTTACGTCCTTTGGTTTGATTTATTCTATGGGGCCGATATTTCTTTCCAGTCCCTGTGGAATGCAAAACGGACACCCAAGGGAAAGACTACATGGGAAAAATGAATACTACGGAATCGGGATTACCTTGTCAGCCGTGGATGACCCGAACTCCGAACGATCTTACGGACATCAGGGATTTCGATTATGATGAAAGTGCATTTCCGGGCGACATGTATCCTTCTCACAATTTCTGCCGTAACCCGGATGGAGACCTTTTTGGTCCATGGTGTCAGAATGCTGCAGGAACGGAACCGTCATACGATTATTGCGACATCCCAATATGTCTTTAAACCCGACTTCAGTGAGAGCTGAAGAACAGGTTCCATTTCCCCCCCTGCCCATCATCACCCTGACGGGAAGGTATTTTGTCTCTTCATCGCTCAAGAAAAGAGCAATCAGAAACGGAATGAGAGTTTTCATTTCTTCTTACGAGAGGGATTTCTTTTTTGGGATGCAAAATTAACATTGCCACAGCGTTATTCCTCTCACAGGGATTACTTTCCTCGGTCGTGTTCCCCTCTCTATTTCGTCATCAACAACTGAAATATTCTATTACAGAACATACGCCATTGAAGTGATAGGTCCCCCCACCCACCCCCATGAAATGAACATATGAAATCCCATGGAACTTCCATGGGATTTTGTAAATAATGAATGAGTGCGCATTCGCTCGTCATATATATTCAGAGCTAAAATTGGAGATGAAGGAAGCGTGCGTCAAGGAATAAATGAATTAAATGCGTTCTCCTCACGACAAGCGTAACGATCTTCATTCCATTCAATGATGTCTTATAAGTTTTATATGGTTTTGTCAAAGGGAATTTCTACCTCTTGCACACCCTATTGGTAGAAGGAAATTATTTTAGAAATTACGTGGACCCGAATTTCTGTTCTTCGATGTAATTGAAAACCATTGAAATTTCCCTTGCGAGAGATGAATTCGCGGTAGTTTTCAAGGAATGCACGAGGTTCTCTTTTATTTATTTCGGTGTGAAATGAGATGCAATAAAAGTTGTAATCCCTACTGTATATGTGACTTTTCATTCCATCATCGCTGAAGAGTACTCTAGGAGGTTGAATATTTTCTTACCAGAAAGAGGCAGGGAAGGCGGTGAGCTACAACCCAGGGCTACTCATTGAAGTTGCAAATATTTTCTTTCTTCCTGTAATAATCTTGAAATTATTTTGAGAAGAACGCTATTTCTGTCTTAACGTAAAGTTTCAGGGAAATTTCATGGAAAAGGAGACAAGTAACTCTATATCAATCGCCAAAAAACGTTGCTATATTGATATTTTTCTTTATTTCTTATTATTGCCCAGCTCGACCTTCATTGTGAATCTGCCTTGGGGAAGACTTAGAAGCCTTCTCGGGAAAAAATAAAGGGACTAAGAGAAATAGGCAACAACTAAATCAGAATAGAGCAGGGGATGAACGTCAATGCAAAACAGGATCAAACCAAAATTTAAATATGAAGTGACAAGCGCCACCACCCCTCCTCCCCCCTGATGCTCCGTGATAGGCATCACATTTTCCAATATCCGAATTCGTCAATCACTTTCCTCGATAGGCTTTGATTTGGTTTCAAGTGAAAACTGAGATTCTGTCAAACTTGGTCAGGAGAACACGTCTGTTTTAGGACAATGCCCCGTAATTTGGGACGGAAATGTCCTGAAGAGGAATGGAGGACCAAAGAAATCTTTGACGTTTGGGCTGGACAGGCAAGTTGAATCAGAACTTTAGGTTTATTATTCATAAAATAAATTATGATTCATCAGAGCAGCAACTCGAGGCCAAAAAATCCTCCGCGTCCGCGACGCAGTCAGCAGGAATCATTAAACGACAACGCAATGGCCTCTCATTTCCAATAACTAAAGTTTATTTATTGACAAAGGAGCACGTGTCGTACGGAAGGTATTTATCCTATTCCCATACGAGTAAATGTATTTTGGAATTTGTGAAATGAAGCTGGGGCAGCCTTCTTTATTACCTGGGAAAATCATTAGGAAAGGGAAGACATTTGTCACTTGCAGTTTTTGTAGCTAAGGTTCAATGATTTCTCTTGTTAATGCAATTCTCGCGCATATTTCATTATGCAATGATGATTTCAGCTGCCAGTTGTTGCCAGTTCGGTCACATTTGTGTAATAGTATATTTCTGCCCCTAAACGTATTATTACAGGCTAGCGTGAAAGCCCGAGCACCCACGGGCTGAAATGAGTAGAATGAAGGCATTTCATGCACGCCGTTCCCCTCTTCCATCCACACGCTGTTAAGGCCGAGACACACTGATCGCGAAGTCCTGCGACAAAGCCAACCGCCTGCGAAGCATCATCTTAGGACTAATCTGCCCCTTGGTAAACCTGCTGCAAATTGGAGGAAGCGAAGTGCCATGTTGTCGTGGAAGAAGTCAACATTATCTTCAGAGACCTTAGGAAAGGGAATACATTTGTCACTAGAGAAAGATATTTTCAAGAAATGGGTTCAAGGAAAGTTCTGGTCAGGATTCATCCGATATTCAAAAAAAGTCTTGGATGCGTTCTTTTCATCAGTTAAATTGCATTCAGTCCAAGCAAAGCTCTGCTCCAACGGCAGGGGTGAAAGGCCAACACGGTGCCGATTTGTCTTGTCGGAAGTATTATCTTCCCTTTTCTGGGTTAGACTGATCGGAAAGCGTGTGGTAATACAGTCATTATAGAAAAACTTTCATCATATCTGCAGTTAGCATTCAGGAGTTGGACACGCCATGCACTAAAATCCCCTTCTCATAGGAGAGTTTTGTATATCCCCATATGCTTGGCCTTGCCTCATTGAACCAATCAATAAACTTCGACACTTCATTCCTTATCATCCACATTTTCCAGATAGAATCATGGAGTGCAGGCAGGAA